TTCACCCAATTTCGTTTAAGGTGATGAAGGACTGGTAGAAGTAGAATTTTCTCACAAATGATATGAGTTGGTCTGACGTTTTCATTGAATATTTACATAGCTTTGCATTCCCAAAAGTTGTTCTCATCCAGGCTGAGGTGGACTGCAGTTTCGACCTCGCATTGGTCTTATCAACACCCTCAGCGGGACTCGAACCGCAACAGTGCAGGACGGTAGCTTGACACGCTACATATTTAAACTATGATATAATATTATATTAATATAATAATATGATTATTATGAGTATAATTATGGGATACTCTTCGCCAGCCTTCCATGTACATGTCTGTGGTGCTTTGTGTCTACGTTGTCTCTAGTGAGAGTTTAGTCCTGCTCGGTTTGCGCCAGTTTCCGCTTGACTACTTGGTCAAAGTCTGCCCGGTGAAAATATGTCCGGTCCATCCGGACATGGCTGTAATTCATTTTCTCACTGTCGCGCCAGTTTATGATGGGAGTGAAGCTCTCTCAATTGTACCGCTTCTGCCTTCGGCTGACCAGACCGGCAATTACTTCATACAGGCTAATTTGCATGAAAATCTCTGAGGAAGGGACACTCATAGAGCCACTGTCTGCAGAGTTCTGTACCCCAGGCCGTCAGCCTATCTATCCGGTCTGCCCTTTCATCTCCAAGCCCAGGCTTTCTACAAACCTTATATCAGCCTGTCCCTCATTCATGTGCCAGGCTGACTCATACATAAGGGCCACACAGTCGAGGAACAGTTTAGAGCAAAGAAGAAACTACAATTCCATCGCCCTGCTACTCTTAGAATGCCTCATACTTTCGTATTTGGCCAGCATCTCCTCAAACAACCACATACATTTACCTACACACCTATTCACTCAGCCACCCATCCGCCTAGTCCATACACACGCACACACATACACACACAAAATCACATGGGCGCATGCATACAAGGCCTTGGATGCTGGATCGATATCCCATGCGGACCTATGCGTCCGGTAGGTTTAATTAAATTCACGCAAGGCATTCATAGTTATGAGTCGACCAGACGTCTGAGGCTCGGGGACAAAACCCATTGCTCAATCCAACTCACACTCGCGCAGACTCAACCACACTCAGCTGTACATATGAGTAATGCAGCGGAGGCAACGCTAGTCCTTGTTCTATCTCGCCCTAAGGGACGATAAAGGGGGCTGAGTGTGGCAGATGTACTTGGTATGACATTAGCAACAGCCATCATTCAAACCGGCTCTCCCCATCCTCGTTCCACCAACTTGCATGAGTCCACCCTTCCTCCAACTATTAGAGCAAGCTCTAGTCGTGTGATGAAGTGTGATGAAGGGTGCAGACACGCGACGACAGCAGGCAGTCATTGCCATGCCTCCGGTCTGCCCAGGGCTGGACCACAGAAGCAAGTGGGGGTGCATTGAGCCATAAAGATAAATATAATAATATATATATATATATAACTTTATAGATTGATAATTAGGTATATAAATGTATTTCAAATATTATATATATATTTATTATCTATAATGTTTTATTTTTATGCATAACATTAAAAGCCGAATATAAGAATCTACGTTTTTATTATTGTAAATGAATAAACAAGTATTATATTAAAAAATAAAATATCAATATTTTTGCTTTAAAAGTTGTATATATTTATATTTATATATAACCCTATAAATAAAAAATATATTATAGATACGAAGAGTTGCCGGGTTTCGATGAATCTTCTAACATAATATTGACGGGAGACTCTCATTTCGTATGAATGTGATGATTCGAAGGTCGATCTCACCAGAAGACGACGGCCGATTCGAGTTGTAGTGAAGCCATTTGACATTAATACGACGTTGGCTGATGAAGTCCACGAGACTTCCTCCCTAGTTTTAAGTAAAACAGGACTAAGCTTTCGTCCACACACATACACACACACGCACACACACACGCACAACTTATTAATCATTTCTAAAGAAACCTAATTAGCTTATCATAGATATGTAGATCAAGATGGCGTGGCCTTCTGTTTGGTCGTAGTCGCCTTTAGCTTTCTAGTGTTGGTCTGACGAGTCACTTTGATGAATAGTAACCATGTGCTGATGATGCCACCTCTCATTGACAATACTGATTACGACGTCGGCGGAACGTTTTGGAGTGTACCATATCAATGGCCCGATGCTGGAAATCGTAATTATTATGGCGCAGGACGCAGGACTAGGTGCGTTCCACAAGGACTCCCTGACGCTCCGACAAAGTTGCGAAAACGAGGTCGAACCAAACTAATTGGCTCAGTCAAACGAGATGCATTCAATCTGTTTCGTTTACGCTGTGAAGGACTGGCAGTTGAATTTTCCCACAATGATATGAGTATAGCTGATATTTTCCATTTAATTTCACATAGCTCTGCTTTCCCAAATGGTGTTCTAATCCAGGGTGGACTTAAGTTTCGACCTCGCCTAGGCCTTATCAACACCCTCAGCTGGAGTCGAACCATGACAATACAGCATGTGATCTCGACGCGTTAACCACTACGCCACATTGCCACAGGGCCACTGAGTCACAGGGAAGATGTGAATTTCAAGGAAGGCTAGTCTAGAAAATCTGTTCATAAATGAAGAATAGCTTAGTTCATTTGATGAAAAATATAGTGAAATAACTCTCTATATCGAAGGGAAAGTTCGGTGGAAGGAATTCATGATGTGGCCTTACCGGAAACGGAAGGAGGTTTGTCGCGTAAGGAAGACTGTTGAATTGTGCGAAGAAGTACCTCGAAACCGAGTTTTTCTTCAAAAATATAGTTAAGCATATATTCATATTAATAAGATTTCGAGACTTTCAATAAATCTTGAATGAGAGTTTCATTCACCCCAAGTCGTATAAGTAGCTGAATAAATGATAGTCGAATTTAACTAACCCTTGCTTCTCAAAAGGTATTCTCATCCTGAATGAACTACAGTTGACCTCACTCGGATCGAAAGTAATTGAGGTATGATCCAGGGGGTCACAAGTGCAGTCAAACATGGATAAGAGTAACTTTTTGGAAGTAATGAAAAGTGAACTTAAATCGAAAGGTGACGCCTACTCATATTATTGTGGAAAAATTCAACTTTTAGTCCTTCATCACCCTATGCGACCTAGGCCAGCTAGATTACTTGTTCACGATTTATTGATAGTCTCGAAAACCAACTTTATCTGAATATAATCCTAAGGTACAATGATTTGTGCCCTACAAACTCTATAGGTCTCTATAGATCTCAGTGTAAGGGTATCTTGGTACTGCCATCTCTCTTTGGTGCAGAAGGCATGCGTCAAGATAGTAACTATACGTTGAAAAGATAATCAGCCTTCTGTACTTTCACTTGTGCTGGCACATAGAGTGTAAGTGGTGAAAAATGTTCTGTCGAAGATTACTTTATTGATAACTTGTCTAAGGAAGACAACACTTTTTTTAATACTTCCTTAGATTTCTTTACCAAGTATAATTTTTGTTCTCGTTGCAAACCGTATTCATCCTTGGGTCTACACTTTAATTACTATTTTGTCGTTTTTACACGTTCGGCATTTCTTCCATCCAGACCTGTACTAACCCAAAAAGCAGTGGCTCTGCTAACTTGTGCCTTATAGATTGACCCATTGTCCAAGCCTTATTCGTATCTTCTAAATTTCAACTTGAATTTTTGTGAGGCCAGAACTACCTCACCGACTAGGTAAACATAGTCGACGTCAAGAGGTGGGTGTACTTTGTATAATAGAATTGAGGTGAATTTCAACATTAATGACGCTCATTTTCTGGCCCTATTTGAGGATAAACTCTAGGAGAAGGATGGTATCTGAAGCACTGCTTGTGTCTGACCAAGAAGATGAAGTCTGGCCGAAGCACGAAGACAGGTCTCATCATCGACTAGATTGTGCACAAGCCCAAAAAATTGCCTCCAGCCTCTATCCATTCATTCATTTTGGACAGGATCTCCATGTCTGAAGACGCATCTTGTGGAATTCAGGGCCTTTTAGACCTCCACAGCGATAAGCCTAAGATGAACTTAAGTGCGCTTCCAAGTCGTATACCAGTCGGATACTTATTACTTTTCACTTTATTTGGGAACATCGGATTATTTTTAATATTTAGGCAAAATTTCGCTTCTAAGTCTACAGTAAACGATATTGTAAGAGTTTGTCAAAACTCTCTTTGAATCTCAAATTGATCATGATAGTTCAGTTGTCTCTGGCAAGTTGAGAAGAAAGATTGATTTGTCAGTTTCATCGGGTCTTATGCTCTATGCCCCAGAAAGGGATCTTTATGGCACAATTCGACCCGAAGCAGAGGTGTAAGAAAGATTCATCTCGCAACATAACCGTAAGTCTATTTGATGACTAGTCCTCGAGGCTATCAATAAATCTTGCATAAGAACTTTATATAAGATTTATTACCCTATTTCTTTAAGGTGATGAAGGACTGGTGGTTAAATTATTCAAGACGTGATTGAAACTAAAGTCCAACCTAATAGATAACACACTTTCAAAAGCAAGGCTATGTGAAATTCAGTGGAAACATAGGGTCTACTCATATGATTGTGGGCAAATTCAACTACCGATCTACTTATCACCTTAAAGGAAATAGGATGAACACACCTAATCTATCTGGTCTACTGGTAGCCCTGGGGACCTACTTAAAAACGAAAAACAAGAACTTTAGTCACCATGATCCACTTGGAGTGAATTACGGGCTGATAGATGAGTTTTTCCACAATTCAGTGAAGTCCAATGGAGTTATGAGACCTATCCATAAGAATTGTAGGAAAATGCAACGATCACTCCTTAGCTTTCCATAAGCACCTTAAGATGCTCCGAAATCTTACCCCCGTGATTAGTGTAGCTACCAGGCTCTGAATACACCATTCTAGCCACAGTGAATTGTCGGTAGACCCATTGCCCTTTTGCACACTTCCAATGCGACCCAGGTTTATGACGTATAACCCAGAAATGAGCAGAAATGTTGGGATAACCTTAATCTTAAATGTTAATTCCACTAAAACAGCACAAGAGATAGATTGAATAATTTACACCAGTAAATAAAAAAAAAATTCATAGTTGTTTGACCTTATTTTTGCAACTTGGTCATATTGATAGGAAGACTTAGAGGAACGCACCTTGTCCGGAGTCCATAGTATGCATGATCATTTCCAGAGTCGGACTGTGGATTTGTCTCTTCGACGGGTTGTAGCTTGGTTGCTGAGACTGGCAAGACTCACTTGTGATGCAGGCGAAACATCTGGGAATGTGCTAAGTCCACGGTCCCACCATGGAAAGTATCATGTATGCTATGGACTCTGGACAAGGTGCGTTCCTCTAGTTTTTCCTGACAATATGATCAAGTTGCGAAAAAAAGTTCAAAAATCTCTATACAACGAAAGAGACCACGACCATACAAAAGGCCATACCATCCTGTTTTTCATACCTACGATAGAAAAATTTCACCTAATGGAGATAGTTCGAGTTTTGCGTAATAGTGAAATGTCGAGCCCAGACTCCATTTGGATAAATTTCGCTTTCTCACGCATAAGTAACGACTTGATTTTGTAATAACATCTGGATTGGCCACGCCCTTTGTCTCTAGACTTAAAAGTATGCATGGTTGAACCAAGTTTGCACGAAGCGATCAGTCTACGAGTGCAGCCTTGTGATTCGCGGACTCACATCTATTCTGCTCCCAATTCACCTAAAGATAGTCTTGATTGGCTATAATACTTACACGATGGACCGTGATTTCGGTCTCGCCCACGTCTCATCGTA